TTTAATTCTAAAACTACATAGTTTATTAGAATATTTTAATAACAACCCTAATTAGTAATTAATATATACTATGTACTTGAATACTCATATATACTTTCTAGGGTTGAAAATTATGATTCTCAGTTATAATTTTTCTACTTTTTATTAGATTATATGGTTTGAAATATTTTAGTTTACTTAGACTCATAATAGATTTTTTTTTTTAATTTAATACTTTTTAATGGATTTGGTGACTACATATATTGATACATCCTAAATTCCTAAGATGAATAGTTATACTCTTTTATTGATTTTATAATATTATTATTACCTTTAATTAATTAAGATGTTAATTATATGCACTGAATTATTAAATATTAGGGGTGAAGTATAACCTACCATCTACCTAACAACAACCACCCGGGGGTTGTTAAAAAAAGGGAACTAACAAAATATTTTGAACTACCATCTATAAACACGTAAGACTAAATATTTTGATTTTTAGTTATACTCTTTCCATATCATTTTGTTTGCATGGTTTGACAAAACACTTATATTGAGAATTTAGACAATAAAAGTTATTTTGTTTTTCTTTATCCTTAATTCATTAAGATATTAATAAAAGTCCTTCATTTGATGAACAATCATAAAAGTTATTATAGAAAAAATAATTGTTTATATATCTAAATTTAGAAACTTTACAAATATTTTGTAACATCCAAAAAAGAAATAACAATTAAACAAAATGAGACAGAGGGAGTATGTGATTTTAATTTATTATTTTTGAATTTTAATTATATCTTTTTAGTATGTATATATAAAAATATGGTGATTATTCCTTGTTAAATTTAAAAATTTACATCATAAAAAATATCATAATATGTTAAGATTTGTATTTGGTTAAGAAATTTGGAACTGTCGAATTCCAAACTGAATTTCAATCGAATGGTATGGAAAAAAAAATTTAAATTTTGAAAAATATTTGAAATAGAATGGAATGCAATTTTAAAATATTTTGAAACAGAATTAAAACGAGGGTTATTGCATTCCATACCGTCGGAATTACACCCCTAAATTCAAGTTTGAGTTTAGCTCAAGTTGAAATTGATTTGAATTTAAAATAAATTTATTATGATTTTTTCCAAGTTAAGTGTATAATGTTTTCTCTATTTACAATCCTAACCTATTTTAAGTGGTTTATTGGCCGCATATTTCAATTGGACAGAAATTAGTAAAAAGAAAAAAGAGCAAGCCTGCTCTTAGGCATGACCACGGTTCCAGAACTGTCATTTCGGTTTCAAAACTGCTGGTTCCAGTTTCAATTTTTTTATAATCGGAACCGGACCGAATTGCTTTTAGACGATTTCTAAAACGGTTTTGAAACCGCTGGTTACAGTTTTTTTCCGTTTTTAAACCGAAATTAAATAATATTATTAAAATATATTTTTTGAGATTTGTAGTTTGAATAAATAATAATAATAAATATTACTAAAAACTGTCTAACCCGCTCCCAGTTTCAACCTTTTTAATTATAATTCCCAGGACAAAACCGGAGACCAGAATTGCTTTTAAGACGATTTCTAAAACGGTTTTTTGAAACCGCTGGTACAGGTTTTTTTTCCGTATCTTTTACTACACAAACACTTAAATAATAATAATAATAAAAAATATATAAAATTTTTGAAGATTAATTGTAGTTTGTATATAAAAAATAAAATATAAAATACTTTAAACTATATGAAAAACTAGAATAATAATTTTTAATAAAAAAATGTCTTAATACTTTAAAAAACTTATAACTACAACTATAAAAAAAACAAGTATGATAACTAATTTAATTTAATAAAGAAGCATGCGCCTCTTTAAAGCAGGTTCTCAAACAATGAACAATCATCGTGTTATATTGAAAAAACTAAATTAATTTAATAAAAATTTTTAAAATTACTTTAAAAAACTATAATAAACTAAAAAACAAGTTGAAATTTTTTTAAGAACATGTTTTTACGGTTTCAAACTGAAATCATCGGTTTCGGTTTTAAAAAATAAAGAGTCGGAATCGAACTTTAACCTTAAATTTACGGTTTTCATTACGATTTTAAAACCAGATTCATTGACTACAATTTAATATCAATTTTGACTGATTGGATTTTAATTCGGTTATAATTTGAATCTGAACCGTATTCGTACCTACCTGCTCTATTCCCGTAATGGCCCACAGGAATTTAAAAAGATAAGGCTGATGGTTAGGCATCGTCGTGGACTCGAATTAATCATTTGTCAATAACAATTAATAAAACAAAATCCTCCCGTCCTAGCTGTACCTAGTGGTCCACTTGTGATTGTTACTTGACATGATCAATTTTGTTTTTCAAAAAGTAAGAATAAAAAGTCATCCATTTACAAAATAAAACAAACTAACTCAAGACAACTTTATGCTTCTTTAATTGAATAGTTAATTCATTTATGGTATCAAATTTTTGTAATTTTTCTATTTTGGTATTTAAATTAAAAATTTTTATAATTTAATGTGTGAATTATTAAAAGTTGCAATAAATTTATTTATTTAATTATTTTTCTAAAAAATTAAAATAAATTATTTGACTTAATAAATAACATCAAATATAAATATACATTCAATTTATATTTTTTTAAAATTTTTATTCAATTTAGAAAAGTCTCAAAAATTTCTATTAATTTTATTTTAGTTTCAAGATAATATAATAAAAGAAATTAAAAAGGAAAGATAATAATCTAGAACAAAAATAAGTAAAGCTATGAGATAAAATAGTTTAGTTTAATAATGCTTTTCATTGTGCAAACATTATTAATTGAGACATTTAATAGTAAAGTTCTTCGGTTATGATATTAAAATTAAAAAATTAAAAGTTGAGACATAAATATAATTATTCATTTAAATAAAGAAAATTTCTTTCTTTAGTTTGAATTTTCCATTATTCGTCTTATAAAATATATATAAAAAAATCAACTGGAAGGTCAGTAGGGATTTCAATGAGTAGGGTGTAAATGAGTCAAGCCGACTAGTCAGCTGCTCGCAAGCTGTTCGAGTTTAACTCGAAAAAAGTTTTAAAAATTTTGGCTCAAATCAAGTTTGAGCTAACTCATTAGCAAACAAGTCCAGCTCAAACCAAATAATGTTCAACTCGAAAGCTCATCAAGTCTTATCGAACTTTTATATAGTCCTACACTCCCCCCCACTTAGCCAACAAGTTCACCAGACTCACACAACCCAAATAATGCTTCATACATCGAAAAGACAATAACAATCAAAAAGTCCTTAATCCGAACTATATATACTATCTAAAATATACCAATATCTGCCCTCTATCAATATATCATAATAATTCTCATAATAATAAACGAAGTCATAACAGAGACTAAATATAATTTAGCTCATGCGGAATTTTCAAAATCAAAAACTAAATTTTAATCAATCATAAAAAATTATAATTCAGGCATCAAAAAAGCCATCAAATAATTTTACTGACGTTCTAGATATATATAAATACATATATAACGAAAAGAGGAGGAGGAGAGAGAGAGAGCTAAAAGCTGAATAAAACATTTCCTCAAATTTCATTGAACTTGCAAACCAAATTAAATTTTATTGCAAAAAACGCAGACTTTATTGAGCGCTTACAGGCTTTAAAGTCGATTATATTCAACCCATCATTTTGCCTCTAAACAGCCAAAAGTGCAAGTAGGATGGTAGGAGTCGGCAAGTGAAACAGCTTATCTTGATTTGATATAGCGTCGATATTAGCCGCTTGAGGCCTAAGATACCTGACACTAACTCTTATTGACGTTACTCGAAGGATATATATATATATAATATTTATTTTAAACGAGTCTCGAGCTTAAAATTTTTAGGCTCATCGAATTTTAAATCAAACTAAATTTTATCGAATCTAATTATATTCGGCTCAAAAAGCTCATCAAATTTTATCGATTATATATATATATATATAGAGAGAGAGAGAGAGAGAGAGCTAAGCTTGAATATAACATTTTCAAATTCATTGAACTTCAAACCAAATTAAATTTTATCAAAACGAGATTTGAGCGCTACAGGTTTAAAGTCATATTCATTTACACATTTTGCTCTAACAGCCAAAAGTGCAAGTAGGATGGTAGGAGGTCGGCAATGAAACAGCTTACGTGATTGATTGCGTCAGATATTAGCCGCTGAGGCCTAAATACTGACGTATACGCTATGACGTTACTCGAAGGAAAATAGTAACTACTCAAGTCATTATCATGTTAAATCAACGACTTAATAAAGAAAAAAAAAATTATAAAATAACATCAAATTTTCAGAGGCCGACGAAATCAGAATGACGATGAGTTCTTATGTCAGCAGGAGTTGTACTGAAATGGAAAAACAGCTTGACACCTGCAAAGGAGGAGTATATAGCTATAAAAAATTAGAACAAATAACAAGGAGTCATTAACAACACCTCAAGTTGAGAATTTGGAATAGAATTCTTTTTTTTATGAGAATAATTTCATTTTGATTTTTCTTAATTTTCTAATAATTTTATAAGAAAACTACTTCTTTGAATTCAAATGTTTTAGTGGTTGTTATCTTGTTTTTTAGTGTTATTAAAAATAATAAAAACAAATTATAATCCACAACATGAAAATAAACACTGTCTTTTAAAATTATAAATAATGGAGAGTACTTGTCCACACAGGTTCATCGTCATCAATGAAACAACCGGTGAAAATAAAATTTTTCTGTTAAAATGAAATATTTATGATTATACATCGAAAAAAAATGACAAAGGACAATTTTTTAAAAAAAATTTATTTCACTAATTTAGTAAATAGGTGGGGCCATACATTGGATATAGGTAATTAATAGAATTATATCTTTATTTTATTATCTTAATCAAAATGGTAAATGTTAATAGCTGTAGGACCAATCGGTGGGCAACCCATAATTAGGTGTCAAATTAAAAATATGATAATGCAATCAATTTTGAATTGCTATTAATAGGCGACTAGCCGAACGCTGATTTACTCATATCCAGTTGATTAAAAAATGACTTCCATTAAGCAACTGCTGGTTGACCTTGTATCCCCCGGTGCTAAACATATTCCTTCCAACTATATCCGTCCCTTATCCGACCGTCCAAATCTCTCCGACGTTCAGATATCCGACGGTTCTATTCCTCTTATAGATCTTGAGGGTATTAATGGCCCCAATCGCTCTCTTGTTATACAGCAAATTGGCGAAGCATGTCAGTGTGATGGTTTCTTTCAGGTGAAGAACCATGGATTGCCTGAGCATGCTGTCCATAAAATGTTGGAAACAGCCACAGAGTTCTTCAGATTACCGGAAAGTGAGAGATTGAAAAATTATTCAGACGATCCAACCAAAACCACCAGGCTGTCTACCAGTTTCAATGTAAAAACTGAAAAGGTCTCCAATTGGAGAGACTTCTTGAGACTCCATTGTTATCCTCTCCAAGATTATATCAAAGAATGGCCTTCCAATCCTCCATCCTTTAGGTGATTTACTGTTTTTTTTTTTCTTAGTTTTTTACACTATAGTAACATTTCTTGATAATTTAATTTGGTTTGCAGGAACAACGTGGCTGAATATTGCACGCGTGTGAGAGTGTTGGTGCTGACACTGCTTGAAGCCATATCGGAAAGCTTAGGCCTGGAAAGAGACTACATTGACAAGTCATTAAGCAAGCATGGACAGCACATGGCCATCAATTATTATCCTCCTTGTCCACAACCACAGCTCACTTATGGATTGCCTGGACATACTGACCCTAACTTAATCACCATTCTTCTTCAAGACCAGGTGCCTGGATTGCAGGTTCTCAGAAATGGCAAGTGGGTTGCTGTTAATCCCATTCCCAATACATTCATCGTCAACATTGGTGATCAAATGCAGGTAAATTATTTAATTAAATTAATTAATTTCAACTTAAAATTAAACCCAAAGCTTTTTCATTAATTAGTTTTACTTCAGGTAATTAGCAATGGTAGATACAAAAGCATACTCCACAGAGCAGTTGTCAACTGTGAAAAAGAGAGAATATCTATTCCAACCTTCTATTGTCCTTCACCTGATGCTTTAATAGGACCTGCTGAGGAGTTGGTTGACGCTCATCATCCTGCGGTCTATAAACATTTTACATACGCAGAATATTATGAGAAATTTTGGAACAGAGGACTTACAAAAGAATGCTGCTTGGACCTCTTCAAGACTTAGACTTTTTGATGTGTCTGCATATATATCTAATATATTTACTTTGGCTTGGGATAAGAACATGAAGTAGATTCAGGTTGAAGTTTGGTCATTGGTGTGTGATTTAATTAATAAAAATGGAACTCAAAAGCTCAGATATTTTTGGTATTGTGAAGGAAGTAAAAAAAACTGTTGAAAAGATAATGGTTTATCCAATTTCAACGTCTATACAGGAAAGGTTACTTTGCACAGATTGGATGGCTCATTTGGGAGAATGGATACCTTTCAATTTTCAATGCTAAAAAGTAAATTGAGTTCCCTAAAATCTTAGATTTTACAAGCAACAATAATTAAGTCATAGTACCTCAGTATCTGATATATTATATTTAACATATCTTAAATTATTAATTCTCATAAATATAGTTTATATACTTGTGTTGAGTTTTTTTTTTTTTTTTTTTTTTTTTTTTGTATTGATCTGATTATGATTTAACATATCTTAAATTTATTAATTCTGCATAACATACACAAGTTTCCAATATATAAAATAGATGTGAATATATTTTTATATATAATACATATCCTTCATTATTTTTTTTTAAATTGATAATCATTAATATGAAGTGTAATTGAAGTACACTTACTAAAACACACTAGTTCCCTATAGATATACACATATAACACACGCAATTCAAAAATCATACTAATCAATACACGGGAATAAAAACATTTATGTCACTAACTAGCTCTATACACAATAGGACAAATAAAAATTTTTTGCAATATTGTCTCAAACATTCAATTATATAAGTGGGAATAGGAGGAGGGTGGAGCATGTTAAAATCTCAGCTACATAACAGCATCACGCCGAAATGTACAGATTACAAAATATTTTTAAAGATTTTAATTTTATTGATTTGAAAAATAAATGTCAATTTTAATTTGATTGGTCATGGCTTAATTTCTTATCATACGGAATCTCATTCCACCTGCAACACACAATAAGATAAAATTAGTTTGAATTGAATTATATTAGTTTCGCTATGATGAGACCCCCTTAAATTAAAATTTATCTTTAATTAGGAATTTTTGTATGCTAGCCTTTCGATTTCTATAGGTCTCCTTACTCTACATACTCTATGATGAATTTTTGAAAAATCTACGAAAAAGTAAAACTAAAAAGAATGATGCAAATGCATACTTGCCACCTTTTTTTTTTTTTTTTTTTTTTTTTTTTAAATTGATAATTCATTAATAATGAATGTAAATTGAGTACATTATACTGTTCCTATAGCAATATAAATATAGAAAATTAAAAACTTTAATCTTTCGGGTAAAAATTAGTCTATTTTCAAATAAGACGACAAAAAAAATTTTTTGCAATATTGTCTCGAACATTCAATATATAAGTGGGAATGAGGAGGTGGAGCATTAAAATTGTTAAAAATAACGCCAATAAATGTACAGATTAACAAAAATATTTTTAAAGATTTTAATTTTATTGATTGAAAAAATAAATGTAATTTTATTTGATTGGTCATGTTAATTTCTTATTTGAATCTAAATTTTATTCGCTAAAAAATAAATAAATTAATTTGATTGATTATATTAGTTTCCTATTATATCTTAATTAAAATATATCTTAATTAGGAATTTTTATCTAGCTTTGATTTATATCTCCATTAATTAAATACTCTTATAATTTTTGAAAAATCTACGAAAAAGTTAGAAACTAAAAAAATGAGGCCAAATGCATACTTTGCCCCGTACTTGGATAAAAGAAAAAAAAACCTTGTGGCCAATGTATTCTTAAAATTTTTTAAAAGTGTATCTAATAAATCCCTTATCACATTAGTAATTAGATTTGAGAATGCACGTATCAAGAAGTGAGTGCAGGCTTCATAAAGCATCCCACATGGCATATGACCTATCTTTTTTTCACCTCTCTCTCTCTCTCTCTCTCTCTCTCTAGCGTGATTTTCATTTTTTTTTCTCTTCTTCCACTTTCAAGCTAGTTTAGGGTTCACAGATTAGGGATTTTTGTTTGGGTGGCGTAATGGACGGTCTTTTGTAATACATAATCCCTAATTGCTATTGTGGGTTGACGATTGTGCTTAAGGTGTTCTTTATATAAGCGAATCCTGGAAGGAGATTCTTTAGTTGTAGACATTACAGGGTTTGTTAATTTTAGGTTTTAATAAAATTAGGGTTTTTTTTTTTTTTTTTTTACTTGTTTTCTTCTGATGACAATGAAATATTATGCTGACCTGCTATTTGTAAATTTTTTGATTTGGGTTTAGAAAAGCGGAGCTTGCAATTTTTTCTAGTCGCTTGATCATCTAATGCCTGACCATGTGCAGCATGTCATTTTTAGGATTGCTGAGGAGAATTAAGGAGTTTGACTAGGAAAAGAAGAAGTACAAGTGCAAAATAATAAAGCTTGTTGTATTTGGTGTATTTGTTTTGTGTTTTTGTGTTGTTCTTAGATTTGCTTTGGGTGGTTGTAGCCGAGGTAGAGGTCAACAGTTGTATTTTGCAGAAGGTGTTAAAGCCTATTGTGGAAGTGTAATGTTAGGCATTCCACATTATGTATTAAGTAGTTGCAAATCTTGTAACTGTCTTTCTAAAATTCAATGAAAATGCCTAAAATTGTTTAAATTGACTGGATATATGTTTTTCTGTATTGTTGTATCCAAAAGCAATAGAAAATGAAGCAATACACAGCAATACACAATAAGACTGAAATTGACAAAAGACATTTATATTTGCATTCTAATTGTGCATTCTGATACAGACTTGCAAAAGAACAAAGAGGTCTGACAGTGTATATCATCTCATTGTTCATGACCAACATACCAAAAAGCAAAATGTTACCAAGGTCTTAACTTCCCAAATTACGTATTATCAGAATGATCAAAATGATAAAAACTAAATAATTTCAAGCTTCTAAAACAACAATTTAGGCATTTCCACTTTGTTGTGTAGGGTTGTTACTGCCTTGTGATTATTGATTGCTTTAATTTTCATAAAATACTTGAGCTTCTCTTGTTTGTTGCATGTGGAATTATCTTGTTGCTCTTTGCTAGTCTAACTGCCTTATTGTTGTTGCATTCTTTCCCTTCCATTTCAAGCCCGCTTTGAAACCAAGGTCCCCTATGACCACATCTAAACTCTTCAAGTTTGTTGGTTGTGTTATCGCTCTTGTAGGCACATTTAGTGGTGAATGAAATAAAACAAATTTCCAACAAACATGAATACCAAGCACGAAATGGTTTTGTAAAAAATGCAACATAGATTAGCCAAACATAAAAGTTAACTAAAATTTTGTAAGTCCAATGCTTTCATTGATGAAAACCCCCCATTCCAGAAGGTCTCCCTTGTCAACATATCTCTTTCTCCCAAGTGTAGGTGGTTGAACATTTGATGATGTTCTACCCCTTCCTCTGGCACTACCACTTGCATTACCTCTTCCCCTGCCAAGACCAACACTAGCATTACCACCTCCGTTGCCTACACCAGCATTATTATTACTACCTCTCCTTCCTACACCAGCACTATTATTACCAATTCCCCTGCTAACAAACCCTGTTACAATATGACCTCCCCTGACAACAACCGTAGCTGCAGTATGACCTCCCCTGCCAACACACCCAACTGCATTACCACTACCAAATCTCACACCACCATTAGCATTACCAAGCCCTAACAACACCAATCATTAGTATCATTCCCAGAATTACTACCTGCAGCATTATCCTCACCTATGAAACCAAAATTAGTCCCAGCCTCACCTAACGGAACATCTTCAACTTCCTTAGTACCAGGTGCACTTATTCTCCTCTTAAAGCTTCTAACCCTCTCTTGTAGAAATCAACTTCTCATTAACATCACTACCCTCATCAGACCCCACTCTTTCTCCATCTCCATCTCCCTCATAATCCTCATCTGAAGACGATGAGCTTTCTTCAACTTTAGTAGGGATATATTCAGCCTCACTCTCTCCTTCACTACTACTGTCACTAACACCCTTATTGGTATTATGTGAACCAGCTCCAAACTCTTGCCTAGATGTCCCTGCCACTTTTGCATCTTATACATCAGCCCTCTCAACAACTGATTCTTGCACATTTGCCCCTATCCCACTTGTCCATTACACATTAGCCCTTGTCCTACTTCCTTGTTACACATTAGCCCCTCCAATAGATTCCCCTTCCTTGTCATTATTCCTCTAATTTACACCCTCAATTAAATCAACACCTACTTCAACAACTTCAGCTAATTCAATACCATGCTCCACATAAACCTCTATGGTTCCACCATCAGGTATGAAGTTGAGGGCAAACATCACATCCTCATCATTGTATAAACTTGAAAACACCTCAGTCTCACCAGTAATGAACCATCTATGGTACACCTTGGCTATATTTTGGTACCCAAAATCTTCTGCTTTACCAACTAACTCAAAGTATGAGCACCTGTCTATGTCCACTTCCTCCTCTAGGAATTCAATGCCACCAATATACCTTACATGTGGTTCATAGACCATTGTGCCTCTATGAACCCATCTTATGTTTATCTGCTTCTCAACCATCCTAAATCAATAAATAAAAAAAGAGGATATCAAAACATAGAGTCTACCAAAAAATCAATAGCATATTTTGACAAATCAATAGAAACAATGTCAGCAAAAGAGAATAAATTCCTGAGCTATTGACTAATTTCTCAAAAAAACCTTAACCCATTCCTATTTTTTTCAAAAGAACCAAACTTTCCACTACTGCTTTCCGTTAGTTAACAAATCCCTAATTCCCATTCTAACTATTTAACCCCAAAAATCTCCACGCTCAATGAAACGAAAAATACAGAGGAAGAAATATATGTCTTTGGCAATATGAAAAAAAACTTCAGCCTTTATGCGATTACACCTTCTTTTTTCCGAGGTTACAGTTTAATCTCTTTCAAACGATAACTGAACAATATGGAAGATCCGTTTCCATGATATTTCAAAAAATAACAAAACCAATAATAATTTCATATTAGAGGGAAACAACTATAGACCTATGCATGGCAAAAAATTTTGCCATTTGTCTTTGTTTTTCCATGCAGGCGCGAGTGCAATTCACAAACTTCTCAGATTTAATGTCCAGAGTGGCAAATGATTTATTAAATATATAAATATATTTTTAAAAAAATTCAAGGATACGTTAAGTTATCCACGAACTACAAGAGGCCACAAGATCTTTTTAG